ACAAATTATAAACAAATTCTTATACTCTTTTACAATTGCAAAAATTAAAAAGATTTAGAAATTATAAACAAAATTTTAAATCTTTATCTTGATCTCCAAGAATACCCAAAAGAGGGTTGCCACCAACCTCCCAAGCTCTCTTAATTCTGAATTTGAATGGTATTTATAAGGTTTTAGAAACCCTAATTGGAATAAAAGTAGGATTTGAAACAGAATAAGAAACTTGAATGTTGGACGCTTAACGTATGACATCTTGAATTACGTGTCGACACAAAACAGGAAATAGAAAGTTTGATTTTGGACTATTAACCAATGGTGTCGACACCCATATTATGTGTTTAAAAATAAACCCAGCAAAATGAAGACGACAACCTAGACGAAAACCCAGCAAAATGAAGACGACAACCTTGGCAAGTGCACGCCACTCAAGAAGGTAGGGTTTTAAGAATAAAGTTGCAACTCACTTATAAATGTAGAATTACAGGGGAATTTGAAATTTAGAATTAAAATTTAAGTATGTAATTTTTAAAAAATAATAATAATAAATTAAGAAATATAAGATATGCTATTTTTATTCTTAATTAAATTAACAGAGTCATTATCTTGTAAAATAAAAAAAAATTGAAATATTATAAAAATATTATATTATTTAATTAAGTTATCTTATAATCGGATATTTTTTTATAATCAGGCGATTCGAGCAATTTGAAAGTAAAATCACAAACCAAACCAATTATATCGGTTTTAAATTTTTATAATCCAAACCAACCCAATTTTATATCGGTTTGATTTGATTTTTAATCGGATTAGATCAATTTAAGTTGGATCAATCGGATTGGATCGGATATAAACACTCCTAATTACGACTAAGGACTTTTCCCACCAAGCGATGATAGCCCAGCATTTCTGCTTTCATCTCCGTCACACCTTGGGCTTTAATGATCCCCTTAACTTTCTCTATCACTAAAATTACTAAATTACCGTTACCAAACAAATATAGAAAGAGTTTCTTTAAAGTTATTTCAATAATATCAATGTCTAAACTTCACATTAATTGAACTAAAATCAAACACTTTTTTTTTTTTTTTCTGATTTTGGAGAGACAAATAGTAAAAAGGAATGGACTTCACAATCCATAGAGAAGAATTTGTATCCAGAACTAGCATACCTTACAATGAGAACTGAAATTAACTGAGCAGAGGAAAAGGAAAGTCACACCAAACTGCACAAGTTATTCACATATGAGGTGATTTAGGATTTTCCCACGGTAGTTCCTTTATTTTAGACGAGTTCCAATAGTTCTGAAGAATTTTAACTTTCATCTTCAATTGATCTCTCTTGTCAGTTAAGGAAACTCGAGAGATCTGAGAAGAGGAGAAAGAGAGGGGGCCAGGAAAGATACACGGCAATGAACTAAAATTAGAATAAGGCAGTCCAAAAGTAGGGAAAAAAACTTGAAATTTTGTCGGACCCTGTTCTTTCCATATACATTTTGCATTAAGGCAGTGCAAAAAATAGTGATAAAAATACCATTACAGCAAAATCAGTATTATACAAACTGATAAAATGTTTATAATCTCACTGTCAGAGGACTCCCTAAGGGTTCAATTTTACCACACCCTCATCCTCATCATTTAGCTGACACTGTGACAAGAAGACTGAAGTCTAAAAAATAGAGTTACAGACATAAACAAGAATTCTAGAAGGAAAGAAAGATGAACATAACTTAGTTATTGTTATTACTCAGCTTTCCATACAAAAACACAAACATAACTGTTGCTAATCTGAAAAATATATACCACTAGTTTCTGAACAAAAGAAGTTAACAAACTACTCACTATTGTGGTTGACATAGACCATAAAACATAAACTAACATACTAACTGACTTGATCTCACATACATCATTATAATGCTAGGCTATGTCACCTAAAAACTTGATCAACTCTGTCCACTCTTGCATGATCAGTATAATGCCATGCTATCTCATTGTCCAAATTGGACACAAACGATAACAGTTCACTAGATACTCGTGGACAAGAGCTGTGTCACCTTAAAACTAATTTTTATCAATATAAGGATAGTTTTGAACAGCATATAATTCAAAAAATAGGTACAAGTAGATAGAACATAAAGCAGTACTGTCAAAACAATCCATATGCATCCAGAAGAAGGGAATGACAACATCTCTTATAAATGAGTTGTGACTAACTGAAATAACAACAGACAATTCAACATACAAGAAAGACGGAGAAACCTAAACAATGTCAACAATGCATTCATTTGAAGCTCTTGGTAACCTTTGTAACTCCTCTTTGGTGATCTCCAATTGATCTTGGTATCCTGCCTTGATATGAATTTCCATGCTTTCTAGAACTTCTGCACTTTGAAGAAAATACTTTGCTAGTTCAATTTCAACTTCACTGCCTTCAAACCATAAAAATACAATTTTCTTCATGCAAAATGACAAACGAATGAATTCATCTTCCTCTTGCGAGGATGACCAAGAAATAGTTCCCTCTCCTGAGTCCCATTGACACCCTAAACCATCCTGATAAAAATCAGAGTAAAAGTCACATACAATCTCAACTCTTCACTGGCATAATTTATGATCAATTTGGTCATTTTATTTCATACCTCCAAAACAAGGGTTTCTAATGACTCACAACATGCAAGTATATATTGTAGTTCTGGAAAGCCACATTCTTTGCAAGAAGCAATTGTCAAATGAGTGACATTGTTAAACCTAGGGATTGGAATGTCAATACAACTAAATTCCTGCAAAGTAAAGCTATGGTTAGTTGCATATATTTAGCAATAGAAAGATCATTAAAGTTAAGAAAGTAGGTGATTCATAATTTGTGGTTAGAAAAACCTACATATAGAGTTGAACCAGATATACGAAGTGTCTGGATGTTGCTTATGGCTTTCATCAGATTAGCTAAAGCATTTATATAAGTCTTGTCATAATCCTCCCATTCATTATATAGAAAGTGAATATTGGCTTTGGCAAGAGCCTGGACATTCAGAAACGTACAAGAGTATACATCCCAAACAGACAACTCCAAGTAGTCAAGACCAGGCGTATTGACCACAATCTCAGATCTGCCATCATGGTACTCAGTAGAAGTTATGGTCAGCCTCTTAAGCGTAGGATTACAAACAATGAATTTCCAGTTACTTTCCTTGAAACTGCACTTTAAATCCTCAAGAACAGGGCAGTTAGAAAATAGCCTTTTACAGCAATCATCTGAAAAGGTAGAATCTACAAGGTGAAGAACCTTAAGACTAGGGAGGCAAACATTGGCAGGGACTTTTAAACTCAACTCATCAGAAACGTCCTGCCCAAACTCAGAGTAAACACTCAACTTCAGAACCACCAATGTCTCACAAGTAAATAAACTAGGTGGCAGTAGCAGTAGCACCTTAGTATCAAGGGATAAT